TTGGAGGCCATCGCTATTAGGGTTGGAGGCCATCGCTATTGGGTTGGCATTGGATGCCATCGCTAGCAGGTTGGAGGCACCGGCCATCGCTAATAGATTAGATTCCATCGCTATCGCTAGTACGTTGGAGGCCATCGAGGCCATCGCGCTAGTAGGTTGGAGACCATCGCTAGTAGGTTGGAGGCTAACGCCCAAATCAGAAACCCGGACCTGGAGATTGAAAGTTGCCACTGTAACCCGCCAAAGCTCGATCCCAAGCTCGGGGCCCCGTGCGGGAGGCCATTGCTATTATTGGGGGGAGGCCATCGCTAGTAAGTTGGAGGCCATCGCTATTGGGTTGGAGGCCATCGTTAGTAGGTTGGAGGCCATCGCTATTAGGGGGGCAGGTTATTGGGGGTCAGGCCATCGCTATTAGGGGGGCAGGCCATTGCTAGTAGGCCGTCGCTAGTGGTTGGAGGCCATCGCTAGTAGGTTGGAGGCCATCGCTTGTAGGTTGGAGGCCGTCGCTAGGTTGGAGGCCATGGCTGGTAGGTTGGAGGCCATCGCTAGTAGGTTGGAGGCGTTGGAGTTGGAGGCCGTCGCCGGTGTAGATTGGAGGCCATCGCTTGTACGTAGGTTGGAGGCCATCGCTAGTGTAGATTGGAGGCCATCGCTGGTAGGTTGGAGGCCGCTATTGGGTTGTAAGAGAAACCTGGCCAGCTCGGAGACCAGCAGGAAGTGGAGGAGGACTTGAGGGCCATCAGCCAGACGTTCCATCGACGGGATGCGCGGGTGCGCGCCATGTTCGAGACCCTCTCCAGCTCGCAGGCCTTTGTTACACAAGCTCACAACTTGCTGATCACTGGTGATTGAGCAACTCTCGGACTCTGGCAGGTGGTCATCACCAAGCCAGCCTTCCTTTCATGGCTTCAAGACAAAGAGTTTATCTCCGTCCTCAAAGAGGCAGACATCGAGACAGCCAATCAAGTGACCCAGCGGCAATGAGGTTCATGTTAGATTCTGGCATTTGGAATTTACATGCATTGATCGACCCATCATTCACCATCCATTTGGAACTTCGTCCATACAGTTTTTTCTTTGTTTCGTCAAAGTCTCTACATTTGTAACGTAGTGCTCTCAGGCTGGCATTTTCGAATGCTTGGATGCCGACATGACGCTTGTATGAGAGAGTTGCCCTATTTCAGTTTTCCACACTTTAGAGAGTCGCCCCGTTTGGTCTGCGAGCGTCTCTCTACTTCAGGAGTGGGTGGCTTACCATGGATGAGATCTACAACGGTCTGATGAGGCTCCGTGGCCCTGTGGCAAAGTCCGAGATTGTGGGCTTCTGCCGCATAGATGCAAACAGCGGAGAGGTCATGACAGGTCTCCGACGGTCTTCGGTCCCTGTTCCTTTCGTTGGAATAGGCGTAAATCTGGCTGTACAATCTGTGTTGGGCGATTCTCGTCGTGTTGAAGTGTGGAGATGTATTATCCACAAGCTCTTTGACTGAACAACATAGAATAGGTCTGTGATTTGCAGGCTGCTGTTTGGATGAGGACGGTGAAAAGTACAAGGCTTACCTTCAATTTTGTTATTGCAAGAACGTGAGGCTTCACACCTCTCATTGATGCCGTACAGTTTTGTTCATGTTTGCGCACGCAGCTGGATCCGCTTCGTAGACGGGTTCAATCAGTGCCACGAAGACCCAGAGGACCCAGAGGACCCAGACCTAACTTCAAGCGACCGCATTTTCCGGCACCAAGGCCTACGACTGAGACATGTTGCACAGATTGTGCACAGCATGTCTGACTAAGCCTATTGCTCGAGGCGATTTGGCCCGAGCAGAGCAAAACTCCAAAAGTGGAGATGATCCCAAAGTGGAGATTTTGCCAAAGGTTTTCTGAATATTGGAAATGAGTCCTGCAATGCAATCTCATGGTGATTATGAAGCTCCCACCTTTGAGTTTGCTTCATGGTGATCGGAGGACAGGCACCAAATTTAGTGAGATGGGAAACCTTTGCCTTCATCGGCAACAGATCGTCGAATCGTGTTTCTTGAAGCTTGCTCGAGCTGCAACGTCTAAAGCATGACACCTTGGAACCGTTAGACGTCTGCTCGAGAAGCCCCAGGAAACTTGTGCGAATGGGAAGGAATGACCTACCCACATTTTCATCGTGATTGTCTTAGGCACACGAAGTTCTATGAAGCGGTTGCACAGCTGCTTCCCAAGAAAAGCGAAGAGGGCTGCTGCCTGGGGACATTTTTGGTATGACACACTTAGACAGAAGGCTCGCAAGAGCAAGTGTCAGTTGTTGATTTCCCATTTTAGTTACTGCGTTACCAGATTAGGGCGCAGAGAACCTGATACCTTCAAAGTGGCCCTGTGCAAACAGCAAGGTGCAAAAGTCCGCAACAATATTGTTAAAACCATCAGCTCAAGAGTGAAATTGAATTTGGTGCAGGTACACGTTCAGGCGTCCCCGAATGCTTCCACCAATCTTCCGTAGCTTCGTTGGGCAACGTTGGAAGATTGGCCGTTGCCCCCCCTGCTGTGACTGTACAATTAAAATGGACTTAAACAAAGGAAGAAAGTTGTTTACAGTGTGGATCCCTTAGGAACAGGGTTTGACACACTTAGACAATGGTTCATCCAGTGTCAGAATCCACAAGGAAAGGAATGAGGGAAACGCACGCCGGCTGAGTCGGCAACAGTACTTGAAGTGTTTTGCAAAGCTGTTGAAAATCTCTCGAGTTACTGAATACTTAGCGGTCCTTAATTATGTGCAAAAGTTAAGGAGCGGAGGGGCAGGGAAACGAGCCTCAAGAACAACCTAACAAGCCTGAAGAAACACCTAACAAACGAAGAAACCGCAAGAAAGAAAGAGGGGGGAGGGAAGGGGGGTCTATTCCCCGTAAGCTCGGAAATCAATCCAACCATAATCCAAGAATGCAGGACGTTGCTTCGATATGTGATACACGGCGGTCTCAGCGCCTCTCTTGCGAGAGGAGGACAGCGCAGCGATTCACGCTTAGACAATGGTTCATCCAGTATCAGAATCCACAAGGAAAGGAACGAGGGAAACTCACGGCGGCTGAGTCGGCAGCAGTACTTGAAGTGTTTGCACAACTGTTGAAAATCTTTCTAGTTACTGAACACTTAGCGGTCCTTAATTATGTGGAATAGTTAGGGAGCGGGACTTTAGTCTTAGACCGCCTGGGTAGAGTAGACTAGAGAAGGGACAACAGAAGGAAAGGTACCGACACACAAGTGTGTCGAGTACCATTTCCTTCTGTTACCCTGATTAGAACTAGTTATTGAATACTTAGCGGTCCTCAATTATGTGCAATAGTTAGGGAGCGGGCCTTTAGTCTTAGACCGCCCGGGGCAGAGTAGACTAGGGAAGGGACAACAGACAGAAAGGTACCGACGCACAAGTGTGTCGAGTACCTTTTCCTTCTGTTACCATGATTAGAGCTAGATAGAATACTTAGCGGTCCTCAATTATGTGCAATGGTGAGGGAGCGGGACTTTGGTCTGAGACCGCCCGGGTAGAGTAGACTAGAGAAGGGACAACGGAAGGAAAGGTACCGACGCACAAGAGCGTCGAATACCATTTCCTTCTGTTACCCTGATTAGAACTAGTTACTGAATACTGAGCGGTCCTTAATTATGTGCAATAGTTAGGGAGCGGGACTTTAGTCTTAGACCGCCTGGCTAGAGTAGACTAGAGAAGGGGCAACAGAAGGAATGGTACCGGCACACAAGTGTGTCGATTAAAATTTCCTTCTGTCACCTGGATGGATTAGAAGTGGTGCGTTTACAGCCCTCACCAGTGGCCTCTTCGGTGGCCATCCACCACTGGTGAAAGGGATGGTCCGCTGCGTATAGTGTAAATTAAATTACAAAGCTAAACTCCTGGACACGGAGTGCGGCGGAGACACACACACACATGAAGCCGTAACGGCGCTCCCTTGACTAAAGCACTTGAAAATGCATTCAAAAACCCGGAGAGGCAGACCTAACAAGCGAAGAGAAAACCAAGAGAGAAAGGAGTGGTTGGCGGGGGGCGGGAAAGAAGGGAAATCGACTAAACGAGCCTGACGGGCCACCTAACAAAGCCTCGAGAAGCAGGCCTAACAAGCGAAGAGCCAAGAAAGGAGAGAATGGTGGGGGGTGGCGGGGAAAAAAGGGGCGTTTCTTGCCACAAGTCAGGGCACATTTGCCAGAACGCAAACCCAAATAGCCGTATCTGCGCTCCCTTGACTCGCACAAAACCTGCATTACGCATAACAAACTGTTTGCAACGAGCAAAAGACCTAGAAAGAGAAGAGAAACCGAAGGAGGAAAAGTAGCAACTGCGGCTTAAAAATTGGGAACCATGTGGACATGTCATGTCATTCTTTGATTAATTCAGGAGGCCCTGCAGCATTTGGTCAGAAATCTCAAGGAAACATGAATGGTCAGTGTTAGTCGCGCAGAACGAATAGACTAGAATTTGTCACCCTTGAGGGTCTGTGAGAACAGCTGCCGAAAAAATGGGTTGACACAGTGCACTGTGGTGGGACGACGCTGCAGGTCACACTTAGATAGAAGGCTCGCAAGAGCAAGTGTCAGTTGACGACTTCCCAATTTAGTTACTGCGTTACCATATTAGAGCGCAGAGAACCTGATACCTTCAAAGTGGCCCTGTGCAAACAGCAAGGTGCAAAAGTCCGCAACAATATTGTTTAAACCATCAGCTCAAAAGTGAAACTGAAATTGGTGACGGTAGACATTCAGGCGTCCCCGAATGCTTCCACCAATCTTCCGTAGCTTCTTTGGGCAACGTTGGAAGATTGGCCGTTGCCCCCCTGCTGTGACTGTACAAGTAAAATAAGCACAGGAAGAAGATTGTTTCCAGTTAGGAACAGGTTTTGACGTGCACACACACATTCCTGCCCACAAAGTCCTTTACTGTTTGCCTGGCTTCGCAGCTCATCATTTGGCTGAGGTCTTCAGATCAAGGTCAACAGGCTAGCCTGAGAATTGGTGTCGGAAGCTTCTCTGCGGAAGCTTCAGAACCCTCCGATGCATCTTGTCCAGTAACGACCAAGAAGCCATGCAGGGCTTTTCCATTTGATCAAAAAAACGAGGAACGCAGAAGGCGTACCCTGTCACAAGTTGGCCAGGTCCTACCAAACCATGATTGAGCTTCTCGAGTCCTATGGCGGGCTGTGCTATGAGGAGTGTCAAAGACCGTTGTATACCTTCAAAGGCTTATCTCACTGCCCGGGATAACGGACCAGTAATTTGTCACCGCCATCTGCATGTTTCTAATTCTTTTGATCATTTGTCCGTTTTGCTGATCTTTCTGACCCTATCCAACCAGTCAGAGTTTGGATTTTAAAGCGGTGAGTAGGAGAACATGTTTTCACTATTATGGGTTTCCATGAATTAGCCTAGGTCGAATTCTTATTCGGCTCGTAACGATATGAGCAATCATTTTCTAACACCAGGAGCGGTGCTGGCTGCGTGCTGCAAACCAGGACTCTTGCAGGTATGTACTGTAATTGTCTCCTGAGCCTAATAGGGGTCCAAGATGAGACACTGTTTTTTTCTGTGCCTTAATACGCTTTGTATTTGGAGCATCGGAGGGTACCTGATGTAGCAAGGTTGAAGGGAGGTTCGAAGGAGACAACCAAATATGGCAAGCAAGTGTCTTCAACCAGTCCATTCGCAATGTTGTGGCGGCGGCGGCGGCGGCCGTGCCGAGTCACCAAGCGTATTTGTTTGTTGGTGTATTTGTTGCCGAGCTCAGAGGCTCAAATTACATTAGCAACTCTTCTTGATACGCATGCCAGCTTTCTGATTTGCGTTTCGCTTTGCTGTCGGACTTCTCACACGCCCACACTCAAGATATTGCGTACTGAACCGAATGCCGCTCGCCGCACGGCAACTTAAGTAACCATATGCCTAAGAGTAAAGGTACGAAGAATACCCTCCATGAGGCCTCCAAAGCCCTCCAAGTTGCAAAGCTCCAAAGTCAAGCACGTGACTGCCGATGCAAACGGATGCGATGGCCGGAAGTCTTGTTCTAGTTAAAAGCAGGGACCACGATGTCTCAGGTAAAACAGCAGGTGCACGAACTGACGTCTCCATCCGCTTCCCGTCCAGTGATGTAGCTTCGTTGGACAAGTTTCATCGCTGGAGGCCTTGCCGCCCTGCTAAACTAGAAGTCAAAGAGCAAAGGTAGCAAATCAACGGACGCCCTGTAACTCCAAGGGTTTCACACACACATACCCAAATCAGCACAACAGAGCCTGATGTGCAGGAGAAATATGCGCCGAATGCAACATCTCCAACTCACGGCTGAACCAGGCTGTTGCGGCGCACAAGTGTTTCCTGCCTCAGAGCGGATGTTGAGCTAACTGTTGAGGAGTGACTTGATCGTAGCTTAGGGATGTATGATATATACTGTATAGGGTGTGAAGTTGGCCTCTTGGTGAAAGCATCGAGGATGTCAATTTTCCACACAACTGGTGCACCCTAATAACCACCTTCTTCACAGTTCAAATCAGGGAACTACAGAAACGTTTGCTGCAGACCTCTCCGAGAGCAAGACTTCAGGGTCCACTTCCTTTGCGGTTCTGTGTTACAGGTGAAGAGCTGCTGAAGTGAAATTGGCCACCGACCGCTGACCTTCACAACAGCAGACATTAATCATTCGCTTGAGAGGGTATCTCATATAGAAGGTTCCTTAAGGTTCTTTTGGCAGGGCCACGTCATAGTTGCAGCTTTGCTGACCCCAGAATGACACGAAAAACAAAGGAGAACACCTCGACAAATACTTGTGGGAAAAGGCACCAATCCGCTTCCTGACATGTGGCGCTACATGAAAAGTTACGGCTGCTTCCATTCATTTCAGTGTTGTAGGCTGAACTCTG